AAATGACCAGTACCTTAACGGTCCATTTTATTCCAACCTAAATTTGCTTTCCTGTAATTGGGGTTTTTTTCTTCCCTCATCACGAGTGAAATGTTTTTATATAAAGACTGGAGTGCTTCGCTTGTGGACAAAAGAGAGACAAGACGGTGGGTGGGATTTATCAGCTCCTTCTCCAATGCCCCAACGTCATCTCGCAGAGGAAGAGCACAGCCTCCTTACTCCCGGCCTCGGCTAAGCAACCCCAGCCTTACAAGTCTTAAGCAGGCACTTACCTCTGATTTATATGGCTTTTATGCACAACGCTCAGCGACTACTACGAGCAACTTGCAGCAAAATGGCCGCAGTCCCTTCCTTTGCTTAGAAATGTGTGGATACACAGCAAAACAGGAACTATGCCCCAAAAACCCGACACTCGGCAGGCTCCAGCCGGCCGGACGGAGGGGAGGACAGCAGATGGGGGAAGCACGAGAGAAGCGTTAACAGCTGCTTCACTGCTCCACAGCTGAGCTTTTGGGAAGGATGTGCTGCAGGTCACAGCAAACATATCCTCCAAGTTTCACTGAAGCCCTGAGTCTTCCCCCCCTTGCCATCTGGCCACTGCACAAGAGCAAAATGTTGTGGTTTTTTTTTCTTTCCCTGCAGCCTATGAATTATTTGAACATGTGAGCTCACCTCCATGGACAAAGAAAGGGCTGCCCATGCGCCCGCGAGCACGGGCGAATGCTCAGCCAAGTGGCAAACAGGATCGGGGCGAGCAGCGAGGCAGCTTCCCAGCCCACCTGGCTTACCAACCCCCAAGTGCTGGGGGACAGCTCGCCCCCAGAATAAAACACATTTTAAATCACTGTTCTAGAGATGTAGACTGACTCTGATGCATTACTTCTTTCTGTCTGAGAACATCTATCTGCAGGTTGATTAAAAGAGGGAAACAAGAACAATAATGATGCCTAATGAACAAGCACCTTCCCTGTCAGTAACTCATTAACTCATGAGGATCCTTTGGCAAGCTTGGTCGGGAAGAATCTGCGATTCAAAGAGCCAGACTGCTTATAGGAATATGAGACTTAAAGGAAAAAACGTGTGTGTTATATTAGGCCAGAGAAAGCTTTCACTAATTGCAACAGCTCCTGAGGTTGCTCTCTGATAGTCCTCCCCTCTCTGACCCCAAAAAGGGATAAGCAGTGGTTTAACCAAACAAATTACCAGGCTTGCTCCTTGGCAAGATGCGAGAGGGGCATGAGCCTCTTTGGATGCCGCGGGACTAGTGCAGACCCCGGCCGCG